TCATTCTTCATATTGTGAAGGAAATCTTGCAAGAATAATCATGCTAACTGGCCTTCAACTATGCAATTTCGAGTACAAATGAAGGAAAATGATGGAAAATAATTGATTGTAACAAATAAATTATTTTGGTAACTTTCTCAAACTTGTCAATCGAGATAATATAGAGGGATGATACTCATACTTAGTTTATCATATAAATTAGTTGATGCATATAAATACCAGTGTGTAATATTTATTTACCTTAGATAAACCTGCATAGTACTCTAGTAGAAAATTAATCCAAAGCATATGATAACAGTAAGCACTTACCAATTCTCAAAACAATTTAAAAGATTTATTCTTCTCCCTGAGACAGAATTTTATATATTAACACACTCAGCAGCAACAATGTATTTCAGAAACTTTAGTACATCTCCAATCTTTGCAAAGTAGTTATAGATATATTATTCATTCATCCAAAATTGCAGATCTCCAATTCAAAGTGTTCGGATATCATCGGCATTGGTCGGCTGAGCCGATGCCATATAACCTCTAACACCAACCTTGCTCTGCACTTCCAATGTATGTATCGTTTGGTATGACAATAAACATTTGTTGAGGATTTGTTCCCTCAAGATTGTGTTGCTTAACCTTTTGTCCAAATTAAAAACTTCAAAATCAACCTCTAACCTAGAATGTGAAGGACGACTTTAATTTTTATGTTTTCTGCGTCTCTGTCGTTGAACAAAGAAAATAACTTGATATAAACGGGACAGACAAAAAATGTTAAAGCAAAAGCAGTTTTAAAAAAAAGAGTCTTGAAAGGAAAACGTTATATACGATAACTAAATAAAAAATAGTTAGTAAGCCTCACAAAGTTACTTGTAGTATCTCTAAAAGTTGTTCATAATACATAATAACTGGACTTGTATATAAGTAGGAAAGACGTAGAGTTGAGACTTAAGTTTGTCAACAACATCATCGATCACATCACTTTTCTTATCAAGCCATTCAAGTAAATAAGAAAATGCATGGCTAAGGATCATAATTCAGTGACAAGAACCATATTCTTGAAAAAAAAAACGTGTAAAAAACCTGCAAAGTAAAATTGTCAAGAATAAACTTCCAATTGATAACATGAAGGCTAATATCTGTTGTTGCTTCCACACAAACTCTTTTCCAGACTTTCTTTCTAACAAGAATCAAGCTAAGAGAAAAAATGATTTTCATAGAAAGCTGATGATAGAAGAAATTATGGAAAGGAAGAGAATAAGTGAAAAATTCATCTTGTACGTGTATAATATAAGGTAAAAATATGAATGTAAAAATATAATGAATAGACTTCCATAATTCAAATTTAAGACCTTGATTAAGGGTGATAAGATCATATCCGTCCTACGACTCTGGATAGTAAAACTGTGCCAAGGTTATTGTCGGTCCAATTAAAATCACGAACATCCAACATTTTAAAAGTATTTGAATTTGTTCCACTTCTTTCCGTGTAAATGGAAAGTTCAGCATGAGAAAAGTGGAGCTCGCAATTATTGCTATCAAACCAAGCACTGACAATGACAGTGAGCATATAGATAGTGACACTAACAACTTCTTTGGATGTTTGTTATCGTATCGTTAAATCTGTCGTTACCTAACGACAAAAGTGTCACTATAAAACGACGAATTATATTGTATCGTATTGTTATTTTAAATATAATATTTATTTTGATTGTTACTTAAATTTTATTGTATCATATCGTTAAATCTTCATTACCTAACGACAAAAGTGCCACTATGAAACGACGAATTTGGTACGGTGACGTCGTTACCTTGCTTTTTTCTCTCATCTTGCCTTTCCTTACTATTGAATAATCCTATTTCATTCTTTATCCTGCTTTTTTATACAATAATTCTACTTTGTGTCCTATTTTTTCTTGGAAATATTGCAAGTTTATTCTTCATATTGTTGGTGCGTGACATCATGAAACGATGATAGACGATACAATCTATCCAAACGTTATATTTGTTAAACAATACATTACAATACAATACGATACATTATGAACTATACGTAACAACTATCCAAACAAGCTGTAAATTGGTAAATTGGTTAGACTTGCTCCTAAGGTTATTGGTATTGCTTCAATCTACTCGGCGGAATAGTTAGGAAATGCAAATGAATATTATATTAGTTTTTCAAAAAGAGTTTATCTGCTCTCAAATTAATATATACATAATTTTATGTTTTATATACATTTCTATTACATACCCATGATTACTGTATATATTTTTGTTTTACTTCACCATTTCTCATGAATAATAACTAAAGTGCCTGATATTACTACTTGAATTTGAAACCTACATGCTGATGTTTGCCTTTTCTTCCTCGTGTAGTGACACATTTGCTCCCTCTGAAAATTAGCAAACTTTACATCTATAACAGATTCTATTCATCTGATACTACAACCGCTATACGCTCTATAAAGTTAAATATCACACGTAGTGACGAAAGAAGATTAATTTCGCTGAGGGGGGTTAAAAAAAGAAAGAAAAAGAATTTAAAAAGATTATGGACCGTGGAAGCAGTAACTATTGCTTGCATTAGGTTAGACTGTCTATATCACACCCCTTTGGCTGCGGCCCTTCCCCGCATTCTGCATGAACGCGAGATGCCTTATGCGGGCTGTCCTTTTACAATGGAAAGTGAGAATTGAACTGGCGACCTTGCAAAGATTTTGAACCACCTTAAACACATAGCTATGCTTTTGGATTGTGTCAAGGGGGTTCATAATATAATAGTCCTCCCGTTTCAATTTATGTGAACCTATATATTTTCCTTTTACTCTGTGCTAAGAAGAATGGCCCATTTTCTTATTTGAGAACAATTTACCTTTATACAATGATTTATAGCCACACAAAATATATGTGCCTCATTGTACACCACGTGTTCAAAAGTCTTCTCTTTTTTCTTAAACTCCATACTCAGTTAAGTAATTTCACATAAATTGAAAGGGAGGACGTATATAGATGCACAAAACAAATTTTGCCTTATATACACAATGTAATTTTCCGACAAAGGGGGTTCATAATTCCCTTCAGCCCCCTAAATCCGCCCTAATCATATTGTTCACTTCGTTTTTCGAAGTCTAATATTGGTAGCTAATTTAGAGCTCAATAATACTTTATTTCTTGTCTATCGATATTTGTGTTACTCCACTCGGAAGCTCTTCTCCGGACCAGGCTATCTGCTGTCTTATCTCGATTTCAACGCTAAGTCTTGCATTTTATTTAATTTATTTATTATTTTGGGATCAAATCTATTCGTATAAATTCAATTATACCGTTTTACGGGATAAACATATATGTATTCATTTTATTCTCTAGTTTTCTTGTATTTGGATAGAGCACTAACATTGTATGTATCGGTGGTCCAGTGGCCAATGGACAACCGACAAACTGCTAACTGCCAATTCAAAACCTATGACTTATCTGTAAAAAGATGTCATGGATTTTATGCATATAGAAACGACGTCGTTATTTTGACTAAAATAGCCTAACGGTAAAATACTGGCGGGATTTTTGGTTTACTACTTTAACCTTTTCTTCATTCCCATGTGACCGTGTCACCGAGTAACGCACGTTTGGTATTTTTTTCTTTTTTTTTTCGAGATTGTTAATTAAATTAAATTTATAATATTTCATATAGGTATGAGAAACTTAATTGATCAAATATGACTTAGCTTTTAAAGTTTCATCAAATAAATCCGCTAAACAAATTGAGATGAGAGTACATTGTTAACAATATTGAAGAGATTCTTTTGCCAGTTCTAAACAACAACAATGACAAGTACAATGAAATTCCACAAATGATAATCTTAACCAGTTATCTAAGTATAAATATTGAGAGTTGAATTCATAACACATTATTCCAAAGCGGTTAATTTTTATTGATGATATGTTAAGAACATTTATAGTATTATATCATTAAAAATGAATTACAATCATTTTCATATAGTAAACATAGACCAAAGAGAGGTTTGTTTCGAACAACAAAAATAACAAAACCGCAGTATAGTCTCATAACTAGGGTTTCGAACAATAATAATATTTTAGTGTAAAACCTTTATAACTGTCAATATATTTAAGTTAATCTTATTTTGAATAATTAATCCTAACTACAAAAGTGTACATTACTTTTTTTCTTTTAATCCTTGAACGTTTTCTATACAATAATTTTAAAAGAAGTTATATGCACATATTAGCATATATTAAAAAGTAAAAAACTAAAATTTATTTATGTATTATTCAAAATTGCTCAGCTTTATTCATTGTTAATTTTTTTTTGATCCTTTTATACCATTGAAATAAGAAAAGTATCTCATATTTGTCCTTTGCTATTAACATAGCTGGAGCTGAAGTGACTAAACTTCATATATCTAAATTTCTTGAGAAAAAATATAATCATAAATTTACTCCTTAACTTTTTGGCTATAATTTAAAATAAGTTAGAGTCTCCTTATGGGTTAATGGCTAAATTAAGAAACACCCCCCCCCCCCCCCCCCCAATAATGGGGAGAAATTCAAAAATAGCCACAGTTTCAAAAGTAATCGAAATTTAGCCACTTTTCATGTAAAGATAAATCTGAACGAAAACATTGTTCAAAATTCGAAAAAATACTCCAGTATAGTATACAAGTCCAACATAATATACTGGAGGTGCTCCAATCTCCAATATAATATACTGGAACTTTCCGCGTGTTGGAGTTCCAGCATAATATGCTGGAAGTTCATACACAAGTGCACCGATTTCCAGTATATTATGCTGGAACTTTCCGTGTTACAGCAAAATAGTGGTTATTTTTCAATGACTTTGCAAACATCGACTACTTTTGAATGACCAGTCCGAAAAATGGCTAGCCCGTGCTATTTTTACCTAATAATGGGGATGAGATTAAATAAATTAATTTCGAATATATTAGATAAAATTCACCATTTTCCGTATTAATTTAAAACAATTGGGAAAAAGGTTTTGAACAAGCGTAAACAACGACCCTTTCAGTAGAACAGAAAGGGGGCAGAAGAGGGTGGTGGAGTCATTCAACACGGAAAAGACCTGTTTGGTTGGTAAATTTCTTCAGTTCTATTTATAAAGTAAATCTCCTTTTAGATCTGTTCATTTTCAAGACCTTCTTCACGATCTCTCAAAACTGAGGGCAACAGCCAAACGAGTCACACTCCTTTCTACTCCATCAAACGATTTTTTTACCGATCCGTAAGTAAATTTACCGATTTTCATATGCATTTTCACGAATTTATTTACTGCTTTAAGATCATTTTTAGGATTTGTATGATTTTATGAGATCTAGTTGATTAATGCTGAAATTTTGATACTCAAATTCGGCCCAAAAATAATGGCATTTTAACTACAAAAGAAAGATTGTGATTGTCGTACTTTTATGTAGTGTTTAAATGTAGATATTTTATTTGGAAAAGATTAAGAAATAATGATATACGGATTCACACTGAATTTTTGAATTTGCTGATTGAATTTTCCATTCTTTTTGAGTAATGATGTAGACGTGCTTTATATATGCTACAAGAAACTCGAGCATAAAGTGATGGGTGGTAAGTTTATGTTTAATTCAGTGGCGGATGTATAGTATTAGTTTTAGATTGAGTTCAGCCTAGTAACTTTGGCTCAAACCATGGGTATGTGTTAAGAAATCTACTAAATATGTATACAACAACAGCCCAGTGAAATCCCACACGTGTACGCAGACCTTACCTCTACCCGGGAGATAGAGAGGCTGTTTCCGATAGACCCTCGGCTCAAGAAAGATGAAAGGAAAGAGTATAAACAAGCAATATCAACAAAGAAGGTCAGAAAGACAATAACGACAAAGGAAACAATAGCAACAAGCTGTACCAACAACAAAATACTGATATCTAAAATATTTGGAGGATTCATGGTAGTATGACTATTTTTACATTGGCTGTCAACCAACCACCACTCATCTTCTTTATTTGGACTTGAGGCTGGCTATGCGAAGCTCGTATAGTTAGAGTTAAGCGAGGGGACGTACACAGAAATACTGTGTCAATCACTTGGTGCATATGCTGTAATTGAGCATATACTTCGATGTGATAGGTCTTTTTGGTTCATCTTCAGTTGAGTTGCTTCACGTGTGAGTGCCATTAAACACATACTAACTTAATTACTGAAGCATGATGTAGGAGATCTATGGCCATAGCTCCTCTTTGGTTCTCCTTACCATTACACCGCATTCAAATGATTTTGATTCATTTTTAATATTTTGTTATCTTTCTGGGATAATCCCTGCAGGACACTCCTCCCTTACAGGTCCTGTTGGTGTATCATGTGCTATGCTTATGCGGCTGACTTATCTACTGTATGATGATAGTCAATAAGTTTTCATGGACAATGCAAGAATGGACTAGAAAACTCTGGCGTGAAGAGTAACTTGCTTAGAATTTGTAGTGCAAGCATGGTGCTTAACAAAGTTACAGAAATTGTTTCCGCTGCAGTGGCTCGTTTCTCGAACACAAAGACGTCTAGCACTCCATATCCATCATCGGGGTTACCACCTCTTCCAGGTTCACTTACTATTTCCAGCTTAGATCAGAAGAACAAGTTGAGACTTTCCTCATCCCTTCAAGATCTTTCTGCATATCGGCGGCTTGATCTGGAAGATGGTGATCTTAACTCTGAAATAGAGAGGGGTTCAACTAATTTAAAACGGCTAAATCTTTTCAAGAGAGAAAATTTGGGTACAAGCTTCTCCAAGGTGAAGGGGTCGCCAGCAGTCAATTCTGCACGAACGAAATGGAAGCGAGTTATCTTAGTTCTCCTCTGCTTGCTATTGGTTGCATTTCTCCTATATATGTTGTTTTTTTATCTTAATTTATTCCACGGAGAGTCAAAGTTTTATGTTGTGCTTGATTGTGGTAGCACTGGGACTCGTGTTTATGTATATCAATCATCCCCTAACTATAAAAAAGATAGCGATCTCCCTATTGTATTGAGATCACTGCCAGAGGGTTTCCAGAGAAACTCAAGATTACAGAGTGGACGGGCTTACAACAGAATGGAGACAGAACCTGGATTTGACAAATTGGTGCACAACACATCTGGATTGAGAAAAGCAATCAAGCCACTAATTAAGTGGGCAGTGAAGCAAATCCCCAAGCATGCGCATAAATCTACTTATCTCTATCTTTATGCTACGGCTGGGGTCCGCAGGCTGCCAAATTCAGATTCAGAATGGCTTCTCAACAATGCTTGGTCCATTTTAAAAAGTTCGCCTTTTATGTGCAAGAGAGAATGGGTCAAAACTATCACTGGCATGGAGGAAGCCTATTATGGATGGATAGCTATGAATTACCACACCGGTATATTGGGGGCAAAACCTAAAAAAGGAACATTTGGTGCACTTGACTTAGGTGGCTCATCGTTGCAGGTTACTTTTGAGAGCAAGGAAAATCTCCCTGATGAAACTAGCTTAGAGCTGAATATTGGTGCGGTTAATCATCATCTTACTGCTTATTCCTTAGCAGGATATGGCCTGAATGATGCTTTTGACAAGTCTGTAGTTCAGCTTCTCAAGAGGCTTCCCAAGATCAGTAATGCAGATATCACCAGTGGAAACATTGAGATCAAGCATCCGTGTTTGAATTCTGGTTACAAGGAGCAATATATCTGTACTCATTGTGTTTCCCTATACCAAGAAGGTGGTAATCCTACCACTGGGAGAGAAGTTTCTGGTAAAGGGGGGAAGCCTGGAGTTCGTGTTCAGCTTGTTGGAGCTCCAAAATGGGAAGAATGCAATTCACTTGCAAAAGTTGCTGTCAATTTGTCTGAATGGTCTGGCAAAAATCCAGGAATTGATTGTGAGTTGCAGCCCTGTGCTCTTGCAGAAAATCTTCCTCGTCCTTATGGCCAGTTCTATGGTATGTCTGGTTTTTACGTTGTATATCGTTTTTTCAACTTGACCCCTGATGCTGCGCTGGATGATGTATTAGAAAAGGGTCAGGAATTTTGTGAGAAGACTTGGGATGTCGCAAAGACTAGTGTTGCACCTCAGCCTTTCATAGAACAGTATTGCTTCAGGGCACCATATGTTGTCTTTTTGTTGAGAGAAGGCTTGCACATTACTGATAGTCAGGTAACCATTGGTTCTGGAAGTATTACTTGGACGCTAGGTGTTGCACTGTTGGAAGCTGGAAAGGCAGTTTCAACTGGGGTGGAACTTATTAGTTACAAGCTATTGCTCATGAAGATGCACCCAATTATTCTTTTTGCTATTTTGTTTGCTTCATTAGCTGTTCTTCTTTGTGCATTATCATGTGTTGGGAAGTGGATGCCCAGGTTCTTCCGTAGGCAATATCTTCCCCTTTTTGGGAATAATAGTGCTTCATCCACATCTATAATCAACATTCCAGCTCCTTTCAGTTTCAGGCGGTGGAGTCCTGTTATTACAGGTAATTTCTTCTGAAAATCATGTGTACCGTGCTATTCTAGTTTAGAATATGTCCATCGCTGTCCTTGTTAGGGAAATCAAAACAAAAATATCACCGCTTTTATGGGTAGGAAGCTCTTTTGAAATCAAGTTCACCTCTGTGCCCCATTTATCTGTTTATTGGAAGCTTTTTATACTAGCTTGAATTATACATCTCTGATAGTACTAATTTCAAAGTCTAATTTGGAACAAAATATGATAGTTTCACTGACTATAAAAAAATGATGGCTTCAGAAATGAAGTCACACTAAATATACACAACAATTGCCTTTATACCAGTTGTTAATGCTAATTGTCATATTAAGGCTTCAGCAAAGTGGAGTTGAATGGAGTTTTTTATGCCTCCAGCGTAGACAGTTTCCTCTAACTTATGATCTTTTCTTGTTGTCATAGACTGTCATCTTCTAAAGGAGCAATTCTGTTTAAACTATTAGTACTGGCTCAGGAAGATTACCTTTTGGTAAGAATAATCAATAATTGTTGTGGATTAGAGTGAGAAGGTAACACCAGTTTTTGAGTCATATAGATAACAAACATACTTATGACACTGTCTTGATATTTAAGGAGTAATGAATTTGACCTATTTCCACGGTTCCTACATATCTCTGTGCCTTACTAATTATGAGTTGAAAAATAGACTTTAACACTTTATAGTTCTCTTTTATATTGCTGTTACTATTAGCACTATTTCTCAGATATCCTTCTTAGATCACGCCAATTTGTCTTTCAGGTGAAGGAAGAGTGAAAATGCCACTCAGTCCAACAGTTGCTAATACACAACAGAGACCATTTGACACTGGGCATGGTTTCGGTGGCAATGGTATCCAGCTCACTGAATCTTCTTTATATTCATCGTCTAGTAGTGTGGCACATAGTTTTTCATCAGGGAGCTTGGGTCAGATGCAATTTGAAAGTAGTAGCACGGGTTCCTTCTGGTCCCCACACAGAAGCCAACAACGTCTCCAGAGCAGGAGATCCCAATCACGAGAAGATCTTATTTCTTCACTGGCTGAAGTGCCCTTGCCTCCAAAGGTCTAAATCTGATGGTAATATTGCTCATTGAAGAGAAAATCATGGGGCTGATGATTGCTAATGGCTCATTAGCCAAATTGCTAATTACCTTCAGCTATGAATCTCATGATATACTCCTGTCCTACGTTCTCCTTTAGAGGCACCATAATGAGGCTACTACTTATTCATCTGACATTACATAGAATAGAGTCATGACACAGACATTATCAGCGAAGAGAAGTCTGGCCTCACTAAGCCAGGCGACTGTGCAGAACAGCAGGGAACTTGTTACTATGAGGAGCTTGACAAAGATTTGCATCCTGTGAATACTGGGGATACTAATGAACTCCGACTATGATTCCAACTTGATAGTCCAAAGTTTCACATGATTTGAATGGAGGAGATTCTCTAAATACGGTCCTTTTATGTGAATGAGGTAGCCGGCTTGTAAATGGTCAAATTTCAGGTTAGGTTAGCTCGAGATTTTGGTAACTCATTCTCTACTCATATTTCACACAGGATACATGTTCCTTAATTCTTTTATACTACCCACTATTCTAATGTACTTCTATTTACAGAATTCAACATTTTCACAAGCATTATTCTGATATTAGGTGGAATACATAGCTAGCATCGAAAAAGTCATTGAGCTGTCTTACTTTAGAAAGGGAAGTTTGAGGGAATCAGCATGGAGATGTAGATGGTTTGTCCTGTACCAAATTGGAGAATTTGTTTGCAGGTTATTGTCATCGGTCCTACTTGACAATGTCAGATGTCTCGTAGCAGCTGCTCTCATTTACGCGCCTTCTAAGATTTCTTGCTTTACAAAAGGAGCGCTGCAGGGAAGGAATCGGCTCCCTTTGGAGTGCCTGTGTTTTAATCCCAGGTGATAGATTTACACACACATATAGAGAACTTCTGCAGATCCTATGAATCCAAAACAGCCCCAGTTCTTCTCAGGGCCTAAAAAGGGCTAAGAGCATAAGAAAATCCTCTTTTACCTTTCACCAGAAGCACTATACCATCACCGACACAAGGTCAACTAGGTTATGTACGTAACGGCAGGTATCATATATCCATCTGTGTTACATATGAACCAACCCCACATAGGCAATGACCAGCTCACCTGCTTGCATATAATATCAGGCATGTAACCCTGAAAAAACTATTCAATCTCCACCTAAACAAGAGCAGAATTAGACAGAATTAAAATATACAAAGCCGTTTTGCCTTTTCTTAAATATTTATTGGAAAAGCTAACAGATTTAAAAAGAAAAAGCAACCTAGCCCCGATCTTATACTCGTGAAGTCTCTTGGAAACAATTTTTATTTTTATTTTTATTTTTTGTATATCCCCAAAGTAATTCAAACTTGGGAGGTGAAGGGGAAATCAAACAATTTACACGCCCATCAATGTAGCATTTAGACTTGTAGATGTAAAATCTTTACAAGCTATCAATAGAAAAGTTCTTCAAAAGCGGGTATGCCTCATTAACATCATCAGAGGTTCTGGTTTCAGCAGCATTTGGCTCCAAACCGTCAAGGTACTGTTGATAGAGAACCCCATAAACCTTAAAACAGTGACACTAACTTCAAGCCACTCATACTATCATGCAAAACTAAATTTGAGTAAGAGGAACCCCCAGAATTAGAATTACATTTCTTTGCTATAAACATTCCTCTTTATTTGGGCATTTTAGGGCCATAAAACAAGAATTCAGGACGATTTCAAATTATTCGTGTGCTAATATCCACGCCATCTTCATGAATTCTGGCGACGGGCTCCGAATCGCCTAATTTTCCAGGAATTCAGGACGATTTTCCATTTTTCGTGTGCACGCCATCTTCATGAATTCGGGCGATCAACCCTGAATCGCCTACTTTTTTGGGCAAGAAATGACTTAATACACAATATTCATTTCTTCTCCATGACCGTTTCTCGTTTTTGATATTAATGACTTAATACACAATATTCATTTCTTCTCCATGACCGTTTCTCGTTTTTGATATTTTAGTGCCATAAAATAGGAATTCAGTACGATTTTCTATTTTTCGTGTGCTAATGTCCAAACCATCTTCATGAATTCGGGCGACTAACCTCGAATAGCCTGAAATTTTGTGGGCCCATCAGAAACGACCTAATGGACAATAGTCATTGCTTCTCCATGATCGTTCCTCATTTTATTTTAATTTTAGGGCAATAAAATAGGAATTCAACACGATTTTTGATTTTTCGTATGCTAATGCAAGCCATCTTCATGTATTCGGATGACCGGCCTCGAATCGCCTAAAATTTTGTAGTACCATCAGAGACGACTTAGTGAACGATAGTCATTGCTTCTCCATGACCATTCCTCATTTTTAGCATTTTAGGGCTATAAAATAGGAATTCAGTACGATTTCCGATTTTTCGTGTGCTAATGTCCACGTCATCTTCATAAATTCGAGCCATGGGCCTCGATCGCCTAAAATTTTGTGAGCACATCAGAAACGACCAAATGAACACTAATCATTACTGCGCCATGACAGTTCCTTATTTTTTTGGCGTTTTGGGCCATAAAAAAGGAATTTAGGACGTTTTTTAATTTTTCGTAAGATAATGTCCAAGCCATCTTTAAGAAGTCGGGAGACCGACCTCGAATTAACTTAAATTTGTTGGCCAATTTAGAAACGACCTAATGAAGAATAGTCATTGTTTCTCCATGACCGTTTCTCCTTTTTTGGTGTTAGGGCCATAAAATAGGAATTCATCACGATTTCCGATTTTCATGTGCTAATGTCCACGCCATCTTCATGAATTTGGGCGACCGGCCCAAAATCGCCTTAAATTTTGTGGGCCTACCAAAGACGACCTAATGAACAATAGTCATTGCTTCTCCATGACCGTTCCTTGTTTTTATTTTAGGGAAATATAACAGGAATTCAGCACTATTTTTAATTTTTCGTATTGCTAATGTTCATGGCATCTTCATGAATTCGGGCGACCAACCCTGAATCGCCTAAAATTTTATGGGACCATTAGAAACGACCTAATGAACAATAGTCATCGCTTCGCCATGAACATTCCTCTTTATTGTGGTGTTTTAGGGCAATAAAACAGGAATTCAAGGCGATTTTAATTATTCCTGTGCTAATGTCCATGCCATCTTCATGAATCCGGGCGATGAGCGCCGAATCGCCTAAAATTTTTAGGCCCATTAGAAACGACATAATGAACAACAATCATCGATGTCCCATGACTGTTCCTTGCTGTTTGATTTTCTAGGGCCATAAAATAGGAATTCACGACGATTTTCAATTTTTGTGTGTACGCCATCTACATGAATTTGGGTGACCGACTCCAAATCGCCTAATTTTTTGGGCAATAAACGACTTAATAGACATTAGTCTTTTCTTCTCCACGCTTGTTTCTCGTTTTTTGAATATTTTAGGGCCATAAAATAGGAATTCAACACGATTTTCAATTTTTCCTGTGCTAATGTCCATACCATCTTCATGAATTTGGGCGACCGACCCCAAATAGCCTAAAATTTTGTGGGCCCATCAGAAATGACCTAATGAATAATAGTCATTGTTCTCCATGATCGTTCCTTATTTTTTTAATTTTAGGGTAATAAAATAGGAATTCAGCACGATTTTCAATTTTTCGTATGCTAATGTCCACGCCATCTTCATGATTCGGGCGACCGGCTCTGAATCGCCTAAAATTTTGTAGTACCATCATAAATGACTTAGTGAACAATAGTAATTGCTTCTTCATGATTGTTCCTCATTTTTTTGATATTTTACGGCTATAATATAGGAATTCAGCACGTTTCCGATTTTCGTGTTCGTGCCATCTTCATAAATTCGGGCGATCGGCCCCGAATCACTTAAATTTTGTGTGCACTTCAGAAATGACAAATGAACAATAGTCATTGCTTCTCCATGACTGTTCCTCATTTTTTTGCGTTTTAGGGCCATAAAACAGGAATTCATTACGATTTCTAATTTTCGTGTGCTAATGTCCACAAAATCTTCATGAATTTGGGCGAGACCCAGAATCACCATAAATTTTGTGGGCCTATCAAAAATGACCTAATGAAAAATAATCATTGCTTCTCCATGATCGTTTCTCGTTTTCTATTTTAGGGAAATTAATCAGGAATTCAACATGATTTTTGATTTTTCGTATTGCTAATGTTCACGCCATCTTCATGAATTCGGACGACCAGCCCCGAATCACCTAAAATTTTATGGGACCATCAGAAACGACTTAATGAACAATGGTCATTGCTTTGCCATGAACATTCCTCTTTATTGTGGTGTTATAGGGCCATAAAACAGGAATTCAACACGATTGACGATTTTTCGTGTGCTAATATCCACGCCATCTTCATGCATTCGGGTGAGCGGACACAAATTGCCTAAAATTTTGTGGACCCATCAGAAATGACCTAATGAACAATGTCATTGCTTTTACATAACTGTTCCTTGTTTTCTGGCGTTTTAGGACCATAAAATAGGAATTCAGCAAGATTACTGATTTTTTGGTGCTAATGTCCACATCATCTTCATGAATTCTGGAGACGGGCCCAAAATAGCCTTAAAATTTTGTGGACCCATCAGAAATGACCTAATGAACAATAGACATCGTTTTTCCATGACCGTTCCTCATTTTTGGCATTTAGGGCCATATAACAGGAATTCAACACGATTTTCGATTTTTCTTGTGCTAATGTCCACGCCATCTTCATGAATTCGAGCGACCGGCCCTGAATCGCCTAAAATTTTGTGGGTCGATCAGAAATGATATAAAAAATAATAGTCATTGCTTCGGCATGCCCGTTCCTCGTCTTTTTCCATTTTAGGGCCATACAACATGAATTCAACACGATTTCCGATCTTTCGTGTGTTAATGTCCTCGTCACCTTTAGGGCTGCTTATCGGGCGGATTGAGCGGTTATTTACTTTTAATGGTTTGGCTTATCGGCTATCGGCTTTTATATGTATTAATTCGCTATCCACCCGATAAGATATCGGGAGGATTGGTATCGGTTTAGCTCTTATCGGGTGGTTATCGGGCGGTTTATCGGTCTAATTCAATCTATATTGCACATGATTCAATTTACCAAATTTAGCGAGGGTCCAAAATTTGCTTCGCCGTGCTTCAAATGTATGCGGATGTATGGTTAACCACCAACTCTCTCTAGGACTAGTAACTGAGGACATATTTAATAAATCGAACGTCTTTAATTTATTTCTGTAAGGAGATCAAGAAAAGTTAGATGTGCAGAATGAGAGCAAGGTTTTAGTTGTTTGCTTCTACTTAATCCTTCACGTATTTGTATTTGGATTTTAGATTATGATTCAACGGGTGCAAGAATGGATAAACATCGGCTGTTGATTTTTCTTTTTTCTATTTCATTTGTAAATGGGTTAAAGATTTTAATTCAGTAGGTACGTACCATTGTATATATATATACTTTTCCTTTTATTTTATCACCTCTCTAGTATATTTACTTTTAAGGAGTGTTTAAGTTGCAATCAGTATAGGCCTAGCTTAAAGATGAAAGTTATAAGCATGGGAGAGTTAGAGGGGACGGAAGGGGCTCATCCGAATCCCCTTCCCCAGAAAATTAACATGTTCATACAACGTCAACTTATATATATATATATATATATATATATATATTAGATGTTGAACTTTTTTGATGAAAAATCCTGACCCCTTTTGATGCAACTATAGTTATCTTGTACAAGTAAAGGATGGAAAAGAGAAGTATACAATGTGTTCTTATTTCTTGAAGACAAACTTCAAGAGGTTGCTCTCAGCATAAATACACGCCAAAAGAATGCAGTGGCCCACATATATATGCTATCAACTTTAGGACAATAGAACTAAATCATCCATAAAACCCTAAAAGATAGGTTTCTCCAAGAGAAATTGGGGTTATAACTGAAATCCTGAGCAGGATAACTTTGCATTTTGACTGTAATTACCTTGAGTAACTTGTTTCAACCCTCTGGAGAGAGAAACTAAGGCCTTCTAACATGATAATAAGCAGGTTAACCATACATTTTAACTTCCAGTACCCGAGATAGAGTACCGGGAGTGGAAGAAGGGTTTTTGATTATTTAATATATATATATATATATATATATATATATGGATAAAATTAAATTTTATATGTATATATATATATATATATTCTTAACGGGGTAACGGATTATCCGTTAAGAAAATTGAATAATTCGCCCCCAAACCGATAAGCCGCTAATAAAAAAATTTCAACCCGTTCCCCGTCGGTTAAACCGTTAACCC